TTCATTAACTACATCTGTAATAAGATGCAGGAATGTGCCTGCTTCTCTGAACCTTCTTTCCACTTGCAGGTCTGCCCAACCCTCACTACTACAGGTCACTAATTTGCAAAAGCGAACTAAAAAACTGTGACAGCTTTGCCAACAGCATTTCTGTTTTCAGTCCTAATTCAGCGGGACTCACAGGATAGAAATAACCTTATCTTCAGGACTATATATAGCTGTCCCTTTGCAAAAAGTAAATGCTGGGCATTAGGGATATGTGTGTAGGTTAAATAGGTCTCCTGTCTTGCACAGCATCCCATGATAAATAATAAGGATTTTACTGTTCATTCTGCTACAATCAGATATCAGGATGAAAGACTGAATTTATGCCAAAGAACTCAATCATCACATGCATGGTATAAATTCTGATGGTCAGAACACATTTATAACATTATTGATCTGCCTTTTGGTAGCAAATGCTGTAAATTACTAATCCTCCCTAAGAATGAGACAAATACTCAAACACTGAAATGTCACCATCACCTATTTTCTTAATAAATCTTCTTTCAGTTTAATGTTCAACATCAAGCACCATATAGTATAATTTAGAGCACACATCCGAAACATATCAAAGATTCTATCGCACTGAAATTGTAAAATTAGGTGTAGTAAACACCTTTACCTCTTCTAAATCTTCAAAACTTACAGTAGGTTTCCCAACCTTGCTTGGGTTGAGTAAGCATTACAATTAATTTTTGCTCATATACATGGTCTGGAGAACAAACAACAGAAACTCTATGGAGTCGCACCTCTTGCAGCTCTTTGGCATGGATCTGACAGTTGTTCATGTTGAAATCTTTGAAATTTTACCAGTGACAACAGAAATACAATCAGAACAACTCTATGGAGCATCTCAGAACCACCAAATAAATTTATTTATTGAATGATGAAATTTATGAATAGCCTTTCACCAAGAATGAGTCTACTCTGTTTCTTTGGTCTCTCCTTGAAGGTCCAGAAAAACAAAAACCCTCCAGAACCTTGTACAACTGAAGCTTTTTATAAGAAACCGTATGTTTTGCATGTGTACCAGATATTCTCCCTTAGGTACCTCTCCCACTCTGACACTATAGCATGCAGATTTGAGGCAGGATTTTTACTACAACTACTCTTTAGAAAGTTGAAGACAACTCTATTCATTGTATATGTCCATTCCTCTGTATAAACACATATGTTTCATGCAATGTTCAAAAGTGGTGGAGATCTTTTGTCAGGTACTATAATTCAGCATTTCAAGTTCATCTGCAGACACATTCTGAGAGTCTGCATCAACGAATGAAGTGCAAAAATGTACAGATTTGGTGATAACCTTACACATCGCAATCTGTATCTTTTTGACATTTGCAAACCTCTGCCTTCCCAGACACTGTGAAATTAGTAAATTATGTCAAATGCATATCATGTTCTCAGTGAAAGAAATGTAAAATATTCTTTATGTAACATGAACAAAATGTCACTAAACAATTGGTTAAATTGTGAAAAAACTTTATCTGCATTCAGAGAAATTAAATATAAATGGACCACTTAAAACCTGTATAATCTAGATGATCTATTATGTGAACAACTTAGAATGTAGACTCATCAACATGAAATTCAGCCTGCTAAACCGCGTTTAAATTAAGCACAAAAAAGTGAGTTTATCAGGACAAAAAAATTATCTTTGTACTGTATTTGCAATGTCATTGCTGAAAGTTACATTCTGATGATAAACGTGACCATAAATCCTTAAGTTCACATTTTGACTTTATTACTTCCTGAATTTCTTAATTCTTTAATTCCCTCCAGCTCAAGAATGACTAATTAATTCAAATAATCATAAGAGCTCATCATTGGTTAAATAAATCTAAAAGGAGAATATCTGTCTCTGGAGATACCACTACTAATTTTAATTAAAATTAACATTTTGTGATGTAATGTAAATAAAAGTTATTGCATTCTTCTGCTACAAGAACATATTAAATCCTAAGTATCCCTCATGATCAATCAAGCCTTAAAATGCCAAGAAAATTATTTGTCACTGCTGTAGTAGTTTACACGGTCTTACAGAAATGGTAAAAATCCTATTGATATGTAGATAAAATAAAGGTAATTAATTATTTCTCACATGATGACTGGAGACCCAAATTTTTCATATACGATCACAGTAGTATAGATGAATACACATACATAGAACTTTATTGATCTTGCATCAATAAAATATGTATGTGCTGCCTGTATCTTAGTAGATACCAAATACAAAATTAGGCTGTTGCCAGAAATGAGAGCTGAAATTGTGTCTTCTCTGTATTTTTTAAAAACAAAATATCTAACTCAGATTCCCTATATTCATTGTAAAAAATTCTTATGGGAACAACACATTACAGTCTTCATCTCAAGTCAAGGTCAACAGAGCTGGGAATGGAAACATAGATTCACCAAGCTAAAAACCATCTTGACACTCTCAGTTCAGATTCTGTAAACATTGCATCTGACTAAAATGCTGCTGCAAAGTCTTCATCTCTTGGGGTAACAGTAACATAGTTAAAAATACAGACTTCATTCCTGAAATTTATATGATCACTATTTTAGCACCTTAAAGATTTACCAACAATGAAACTTCCAGCTCAGGAACGTTGCAAATCACTGTAACATGTTAGAGACCACTTATAAAAAAATGCCTCTCGAGACAACGGCATTTCAAGGGATGGCAAAATGGGGTGAAAAAAAGCTACAGTGACCAGGTTTGGCAATCTTGGCATAAACAAAATTATTGCATAAACCAAACTGAAATCAAAAGCTTAGCCAAAGCTACATGCTCATTTTTGGTCAGTACACAGGTCTGGCCTGCAACTTGAACAGATAAGCTTGTTATGCAAATGATGTTAGCATCAAGAAGGAGGTAGATAATGAAATTATTCAAAAGCTAACCACTCATCACAAGGGTGACAGAAAAATCAGGCAAGGTCCTAACATGTGGATAAAAGGCAGTATGGAATTTATACAATCACTGCTTTTAATTTATCATAACTAGGCTGTCACAAGGCGGGCATCAACAAATGCATAACTAATGCATATAAATGAGCCAATTATCAGTAATGGCTAAAAGGTTTGCAGTTGTATGATCCAATGCTTCATTATCTAAATTTTTCTAGAAAGTCCACTAATGTAAATCTAAGCCTCCATAAAAACATCTTGTAACCTCTGTATCATAACAACTTTACTAACACATGCCCAAGAATAGAGCAATGTTAGAGAGAATTCAATTTCAGTAGCCTCTTAAAGGCATCTATAGCATAGGGTATTTATTACAATTTTTGCATTTCTCCATGTTAATAGAACCACGTATGAGCATATTTCCTTACTTCACTGTGCACATCACTGTAAAAATGAAAAGCAAGGCTTGAAAACCTGCAAAAATTGACGATGAGGAAGTAATTAAGCAAAAGTAAATAATAGTCCATATGATTAATAAAATAAAATTTCAATATATAAAAAACTCAAAGGACAAGATTAAAAACAAGTTTAGTCATAAAGTATTAACATCTGACTTGTTTTATGACCAGTGCATGGTGAACTAAATGACTGAACAAATGCTAAGAAATGTTTCACTGCGTTTTTTGTATTGCTCTAAAGCTTAGCAGGGACTTCTAAAAGGGAAGACACCAAGAAAGAAAAACTTACATAACAATGCTGAAGGTTAATGCACAATGTTCCTGACACAGGAATGTAATCTTATTTACCAGGTGCAGTGACTTTCTACAGCACAAGTGGAATATAATCCATTAGTGCTGGTCCCCCAGAATATAGACTACAGCCTTTAAATACAATGCAACCAATGGTTTTTATAACAGAATGAAAGTCATCCACCACTTGGTGACCCTTGTACTTAAACACTGAATCTGCCATAGATCCCAATGTACCCTGCTGTGTAAACAAGGACATGCATTATGGAGAATCAGAACTTGGATCAACCTCCTCTACAGGAATGTGCTTCCGCTACCTACACTGAAGAGATTCTGAGTCACATTGCAGCAATAACAATAACAATGTCCTTCCTCTGTAGGTCAAACATTACACTGTATCTCACCTTCCTGACTGGTTAAAGATCAGCATAATAAATAACAGTGTTTTTCATGGATTACTAAAAAAACTTGCATTAGTGTTTTTAGTTTCAACTTCTTCTAAAATGGAAAGACATTACTACACAACTAGTTGAAAAAAGTATCAGGCAGGGATATTATACTCTACAAGTAATTGGATTCACCAAGGAACAGAACAGATTCCAAATGCAGATGTGCATATTTACAAAACTGTCTTGAAAAGTCAGTACTGACAAGTGATGTTATAGTAGTATTCCCCACAGTACATAATTTGGGCTGTAACCAGTTCCAATGAAATACTGACGAATACTAAAAATCACTCATAAAAGTTGCAGTAAGATTTTTAACGCAACTTCTAAACTATGATTTCCTAGTATCACTGTAAAAAGAAAAAAGTAAAGCAAAAGCATATTTTAGTTGGATTGCAGCTGCATTCATCATGCTTGCCATACTATTGGTGCTCAATTAAATATAGTACCTGTATATATATATATACACAACCTACTGAACCTTACTAAAGTGGAGAAAAGGCATTAATTTTCTTTTTTATCTTTCATATTCTTATTTTAAATGGACGAGCGGTTATTTTCAATAATCCCTTTTTTTCCTCAATGGAAATCTATCAAGGAAATCAGGTATATTTTATAAACCTGTTCCAGATCCATCAAAATCAAGAGACACTCAAATGAAGAAAATTACATAAGGTGATCAAACTGTGCTGTAAAGCCTTTGAAAAGTGAAGCATGGTCTAGAATCTGTGAAAAGAGAACTGTAGTCAAAAACCTGAAAAAGCAATAACTCCATAAGAAAATTCTGTTTTCAGATTGGCACAACAAGTCTTGCTGAATAAGCTGTTTTTAAAAGGAAAAAAAAACTCACTGTGAAATGAAATGGTTGAATCCTCTGCACCATTTTTCAGGATGTAGCAAAGTAGGTGGAGGGTTTCTGAAAAACAAAGATTTGAGTTTTTAAATGTTAATGTTATCTCACAGATCAAAGATGCTCCTGGTTCCACCAGGGAGAAAATGATACTTGAGAAAGTAACAGCTAAATTGTCTGTGTGATACCTTGAGACGTCTGTTGGTTTTTTCTTGTTGTTGCTTATTTACTGACAGCTCTCTTTTCTTGTCCTTCTCCTTTTATGTCAATACCTTTGAAGCTGGTAGTCAGTATACCTCACAGTGTACTTCCCAACATGTCCCCTTCAATTCAGCCTGACTGAAAATGCAAAACTAACCTAGCCATCAAACTACTTTAACCCTTTGCCCAAGATCACTTATTCTGATCACAACTATTAAAGTATGGATAAGAATGACCTGCAGGATTTTCAGTCTAGGTTTCAATCTATATTCAGTTTGGATGACACTGTAAACTCTAGAACTGTTAAACAATAGATGCTGTTTTTAAAATGACATCTAGCAGACAGTATTTTTATAATAAATAGTAAGACAGCCTTCGTAAAAATAATTTTTCAACTCTGGTACATCCCATGGTAGTTGACTTAAAATTCCTTGCCTTCCTGATTTTTACAGTTGCAGTTTAATTCCATAAACATACAAAGCAAGACCTAGAGATCATATTAAGTGAACCAAATTTTAAGAGGCTCAAATTAAGAAGGACAAATTTACAGCAGGAATTGTTCATAAATTCATATATTATATTATACTATGTTATCCTCCAGAGGTTTCCTCTGCACCTTAAAATTTGTTAAATACTGAAGCCTAATTTAACTTTTTAAGATTAAACTTACAGAGATGTTTTATGAAACCTTAATGATTTATCTTTTGCTGCATTTGAGGTCACATATTACTGAAGTGGCAGGCAAAAACAATCACAGTAAGACTTCTTCTACAACTGAAACACACAATAATATTGTGGATTATATCACAATTCACATAATTTATACTGTAGCCACATTCCACAGAATAACACTGCTTGGAAACATCTCACAAAACAAAAAGGAAAACAGCATAAGCAACATAAATTAGTGCTGATTTGCTCAATAGTCATGAGTTTTTCATGCATATTCATTGAAGAATGAGTTCCATTGAACAATTACTCTAAAAAATGCAAGCAAATTGGTTTGAAAAAAATTGCAATGTGGCTTTGTAATAGATGGACCATTTTGTTCATCTACATTTTTTCAAAACAAATGCAGCCAACAAATTACACTGCAGGATGACAAGTTTGCTGAAATTACTATCTTATTACCTTTCTCTCCTGCTTCAGAAGACTAAAGGAATACATTTTTCTTCATGAAATGAAGAAATCCAGAATGTCTGAGATGAGATGCGTATTACTTAGCAAATTTGTTATTAAAGAAAAAAAGATATGATTGGTTATTTTCAAAGACAGTAACATTTCTTGGCTGTCTCCCCTCTACCAGGCTCATGTGTTTATGCACATCACAGAATCTTTTTCACAAGCACTAAAAAAAATACTATTTCTAGGTATACTTCTAAGAAGTGTAAGGAAAAAAAATCCTACATCAAAGAAGGGTAAACTTTAAAAACATCTTTGTCTAAAATAAAAATGGTTATCAGTCCAGACATCCCACATATGTGACCACTGCAAAGGACTTTAGAAACAGCCAGCTGGGGTTAGTGTATGTTTCAGTCTCTATATTGAAGGAGTGGTACTCTATCAGCCATTCCGGATTCTGATGAAAAACCAGCTTCTATTATGCTGTGAAGTGAAGTACAGTGTATTTCCTTTTAGAATTATACTAGTGCTGTCTACTGAATATTTACAGTGAAGTTTTGAATTTCAGTGCAAAGTAATTTGCTTTTTCAGAAGCTCAATTACTATTAATGAAATATGCAGTTTTGCCTTTTCTATTCACAATGTTCCAAAAGGCTTTCCAGATGGTAACAATGGTGCTGACAAAAAGCATATGGAGGCTTTGTTAACAATCTCACAAGGAACTTTCTGAAAAAAGATGCAGAGATACTTTACATTAGTTGCAGATGTTATGATGGAGACGGGATTTCATCATGGAAGAACAGATCAGCAGAGGACATGTCATTCAGGAAATATAGTTTGTCATTTGCAGGTTAGTGATTAATGGAGAAAGCCATCTTTTTAACCATACAGAACATGTCTTATCTAATGAATTACTAAACTACTAAGCTCTCACTGATAGCTACTGTCTTTGGCCGAGCCAAATAAACACAACCAAGGAAGTAGTAACTACAGATGTTATCCTGATCTTTATACTTTTGCATTTGTTGATACAAGATACTATCAAGTATCTATTATTATTCTTAGTGCTTTTGTAGCCAAACCATTCAACTCTGTACTTAGACAACTATAAATTGATGTTTCAGGTACCCCACCTGCAAAACTAAGCTGATAAACAAAACCAGAACCTTAATTCATTAGCATCTGTAAATTACATTACATTGGTTTTCCTTGGTGAAAAACATTACTTTAACTACAAAGTAAAAAATCAGTCCATCCTTTTCTGGAATCATATGAATAAAAGATTTCCAGAAAGAAGCATAAGAGCATCAGCTTCCTACCTTCACTTTGCCTAAGACACTAGAAACTGTTTTGTGGTGATAGCAGAAAACACCACGGCACCTCCAGAGGGACGCTTTGCAATAAAGACTCTTAAGTTCTAGGGTAATAGGAAAAGGCAGAAATGCAAAAGCAACCATAAACTTTTTTCATAAGCACACCTGGTCTTTTGCAGTTTGAAATTAATAATCCATTAAGATACCTGTAATTCATATCCTGAGTCATATCATTAAAGAGAAAAGGTAAAACAACTCAGATGCATCATCAGATGCTAACCCACAGACAAACAACACTTGCCTGACCACTTCAGCTCAAGGATCAAACTAGGGCCATTTTGGATTCCAGACTGTGTTAATTCCATTATATGGAGTTCTGTGACTTTTGTGTACTTGCACCAGCCAACATAATTTCATTTTGCCAACACCTAACTATTTCTGCAACACTCAAACACATTCATAGAAAAACTAAAAACCTACCTCTTGTTAACATGCTGACATAACTGAATCTACTTTTTAAATATATAATTAGAACACTCTGCATGCAATCTTTCAATCATCTTTGCCACATGTACAAGAAGCCAAAGCACAATATAGTCTTATTTTCTATTATATTTGATGGGAATTGTGAGAAGTAGATAGGAATATTATTGGGAAAAGCAGCTGTAATTGGGTTTGTCTTTTGAAAATGTCCTCTTTTGATGCAAGATGAGTAATCAACCATTTATTTCTCAACTTTGTCTTTTTTCCTTTAGTTCTTTCTATAATTCCTAATTAGTCACAGAACTACATGCTCTATTTCCTTACGCAAATGCACTGCCCTTGTGAGTAGTTTTTCCATCCTTGTGCTCAGTGCTTTCCACGGTCACACTAACACTGTTTTTCACTGGGAGTTTTGCTTCAGCAAAGAATGTAGGGTTGAGACTGTACAAGACACTCATAGAGGGGAACAATGTTCTTTCTAAGGACAAGAAGACATTAGCAAGCTTATCAAGCAAGAACTGCTGCTGAATTCTGACTGATACACACACAGCTGTACGCTGGAAATATTTTAATCTATACAGCTTTATGTGTTCCCATCATTCAAACTGCCTCCAAAGTCACTGTCTCCAAAGTCACAGCTGGTGAGGCAAAATTGGTCATTTTACCACAGTAAGGCAAATGATGCAGTCCACTGAGCACCACTCATCCTTTACAGGTTAAACTGTGAACCTAATTACAGATCATGGATAATAGATATTTGTTGGTAATGAGAAAATAAATATTTCTATTTATGATAAAATTAAAATACTGAAAACACATCTACTATTTTTTAAAGTACTTCAGTAAACATATTCATACATTTTACCAACAGAAATCACAACAGTGCCTCCAATTACCAAACTGCAACTGATCAACCCACCACATTGTTTCTAATGAGAAATTAGCAGATGAACAACCAACACCTGTCACCATGCACAGGCTCTGACAATGACCATCCCCCACAAGCATGTTGCAAACTATTCTCCTAGCTGACTGAAGAGACTACAGTTCTGTTGACAGTTTCCTAGGTTTATACACAGCTAGTTTGTACATAAAAATACACTTTTCACGCATATTTTGAAACACTAAGTGAAACAGTCGAAGAAAAAGGACAAATTCAACCACACCTAATAATAAGATTTCCTTAAAAAAGAAAAATAATGATTTTCATTAAAATACATGAATAATTGACAATAATTAATATAATATAAATTCTCATGCAAGTTTAAAGTCCTGCCACTCCAGAGCAGGACTCTCCACCTTGGGCAATCCTCCAAAAACAACCAGATAATTCTCAAAAGGGCTCAGAAGATTTCCTGATACACTTAGTTTGTAGCCTATCCAAATTAATAAGAGGTGTTCACTGATCTGAAAGAAAAATTCAGACCCTAAACACTCTCCTATTCATCTGCCCCCTACTAAAGTCCACTGAAGTTCAACTGACTTCCATTAATGTATTTCACCAAAGTCCACTCAGCAGGAAGCAGTGTACTGTTATCAGCTCTGTGAAGTTAAGACAGAAATTGTAGAAACTTGCAGAAGTGGAGAATCAGTACAAAATCATCCCTGTATACAGAGGCAGGCCTTTGAAGTTGCTTTTTAGGTCAGTGGAAAGATATCACGAATCTGAATGCTGCTACATGGAGCCTCCATGGCTGGGAACCACAGCAGCAATTGGCTCAAGAGACCAGGAGATCAGAAAGAACACAGGATTTACAACAAAACTGGAAGCAGTATCAGAAGCGTGGGATTGCAGCAAAATAGCTCCAGACCTAATGCAATTGTCTGCCAATTACGTTGATCTAGGGGACTCCAAAGGCAGTTGAACATCCTCAAAATGCCAAGAATTCTGCCAGTCTTGACAGAATCAGGCACCAATCTCCCTTAAGTCTTAACCAGATCTGCAAG